ATTACCGATTAATCTAATATATTCATGAATTTATTTTAATGTATATTATATATTAACTACATTTATATAATCTATTTTCAATTTTATAAGTATTTCAGGGGCAAATCCAGGGGGGCCGCAGGAAACTAGTAAAAAAAAAGGGTGGGGTGAAATAGAGTGGAAAAGAAAAGAAAGGAGAAAGAGGGCAGCGTAATCCAAAACAGCTAATTTTTTGTTTTAAATTGCATATACCAGTTTCTATGGTCAAGCATTCTCCAAATAAGAATCTTAACACCATCACCACGGCTCGGTGCTTTGCACATCGCATGGTCTCTACCGATATCTCTCTGGATCCGCCCCGGCTGTTGTATAATATGTTGACATTTTACAATCAAACTATGCTATACAGTACTCTATGAATGCCTGACCATTGCAATATAAATCAGATATACAGTACAGTACTAATGAAGTCTTAGTCCGTAGGTTAAGGATGAAATATTCGTTACATTAAACTTGTGGCTTTCTGGCTTGGTAATGCTAACCATTCCTTACCATTTACTTTGTTTCTTGGTTTTCCCTCGTTCATTCAGTGTAGGTATGAATCCAGGATACAATCATAATAGTGATGATTACGGTTACTACCGTAAATGCTCGAATAAGCGCCGCACCAAACATGATTTTTTTCGCTTAAGCACTGCTCTCGAATAAGCGCCACACCAAACGTGATTTTTTTTTTTCGCTAAGCGCCACTCTCAAATAAGCGCATCGGCACTTAATCGAGAGTATCATTACCCTGTGTGTAAAGAAACGAAGAGTTTTAAATACAATGTAGAGTATAGTGTTAAAATAAATGAATAACACAATGAAGACACAAGCATTTCTTAACGTTTATTTAGGATGATGTATGACCTACACCTGTATGATAGGCCTACCCAAATACGGGAATACGTGAGGTAGGTAAAATGGGAATGGGAATTGAAAGCGCCACGCTAATGATATTTTATAAGCCTTCATTGAAGCCTTCAAAAAATTTATAAGCGCCGGTGAGAGATTTGCACATTTAAAAAATCAAACAACATTTCGTGTACTGTGCAATGTTTGTTTATTTCGCATGACTTTGTGCCATCTATGATAACACTTCTGGTAATAGAAAAACTGCAGATAAGCAATACATTAAAAAGTATGTTTTCTTTCCTAACCTCTAAAGCTGGGTATTACTGCGTCGTACAACGAATCCAACTCCGATCAGAATTAGAACACTAGGTAGTTATCGCCGCACAACGTTAACCTTAACGTTAGTACCCAACATGCAACGTGATAGCTCCGCCCCTTTTGTAAACAAATCGAAATATGCATGTGCATAAGTTACGTAAACCCGTAACTAACGTATGTCGAGCATGTAAAATCCTGAAATTAACATACTCCGCAACATAAATTATGACGTCATCCGTTAATCTTAACCTCGTGCTGCGAAAACTACCTATTAATAGATGGTTTTTCTTTAGATCGCCGAGAACAAACACAACAATTTAATAGTTTACAGAAAATATTAGAATATAGTATATATAAGAAATGTCAGCACTGAATAATTATATATTATAACACAACTAAATAAATCCTTGCCATTTGATTGGTGGATTTAATATATGTGATATGTGATTGGTATTAACATATTTTAATGGTAAAATAAAGTATTGTTTTATTTGCATCATTTATTTGTACTTCACATTTCCATACATTTATGTTCCATTTATTTAGTTCCATTGATCAACCACAGGTGCTTTTCCTGAAAGTCAAATTCTGTCTATGAAAAGATAATAATAAATAACAATAATATTATATGTAGTTCGCAAAATTAATCTCTGCTAGAAAAGCCTCAAATTGGCATAACAATTTTTTTTTTACAAAATAATAAACACAGATCAATTTTAGGTGTATTATAAAACTGTATGTCTTTTATACGTGCAATGAGAAGTATTTTTTCATTGAAAAATGGACTATTCCCTTAAACACAATTCTGCCTCATTGAATGTAACAATCTGTTTTTCAACTCAAAAAAGGCCCTTCCAGTGCACTAATAAATATGCACGCCCTTATGTTTCGTTTTATCGCGAAAATTAAGGGCGCGAGAATATAAAAGGTGTTACTTTATTCAGTACTTGCATAAACAGTGCTAACCAACAAAACAGCCGTTCAAAATACATACCCATAGTTTTTGTTAAATGTAGGTTGAAAAAATTCAGTGGACATAACCATGTACAATCGCAGCAACGTGAAGCTGTTATTCTTACAGACAGTTCTCACAATGTATAAGCTCAATTGGTTTTGCAGAGACACACAAAAGGATCGTTTCCATCAGACTTAAGCCACATAACTCTGTTTTTGCTTTTTTATCACGTTGGCCAAGAAAGAAAATAAACAATTATTTTAAACTTCTAAATGGGAAGCTTAATTATAGGTCATGTAACGTGGAGTTGAGCTGAATTTTGCGTAAGATTTAATCACTTTGTTAATAGCGTCCAGAAAATCTTTCTCAGTTGCGACTTTCCTTCGGGCACGGATGGCATACATTCCGGCTTCGGTGCACACACTCCTGATCTCCGCTCCTGTTGGATAAATAAACAGGCACTTATTTAAATTAAACAAATATAAACAAAATAAGTAGGCAACTTACTGTTTCCTGTTAATAAAACTAAAGCTTTGAACTTTGAACCCCATGACAATATGGGTGAGTCTGTCATTGTAGATTATAGGGGTGAAGGCGGGAAACAGTTTAGTACAATTTTGTAAATGTTCAAGTTTGAAGTTGTTAACAGTATGGTATACGAGGAATGAAGCGCCCTATTTACGCCCTAACTGCGAAATACCATTTGGATCAGGTTTCCCTCAGAATTGGCGAAGCGGACAATGATACTGTGTTTTGAAATTACCCTTTCTCGACTGCATCTCAAAAAAAGGCATTTTAAATTTTAGTTAATTATTAAATTGTTTTAATTATTAGGGAATAATATACAATTGTATTGAAGTTTTAGAATAATAAAATACAAATATATGTTCATGAGAAAAAATTGATAATAAAATATACTTATTAATTTCTTCATGAATTCTAGTATTATTCATTAATTTTTTCATACATCCATGTATTTGCAATTTCATTTCTTCACAAACAGTGGTTGATCTAAGGGGTGGGGGAGGAGCATTTTTAAACAAAAATGTTAAACATCCCTCAACCTGCATGGCCTCTACCCACATTTTTCTCCTGCTCCTGATACATGCATGCATTCTCTCATTCACTTCAATAGCAATTTGCCCGTAGCTTTATGAGCCTTTGCCATCAGATGTGTGTATTGTATCTGTACAGTATGTTTAAGTTGTCCTGATATCTACTGTGCTGTATTTTCCACTTACCAGTTGTGTTGGGACAAAGTCTGGCCAAAAGCTCATATCTAATATCTTTCTCAACGTTCATCGACCTGGCATGAATCTTAAAAATATGTGATCTTCCCTGCGAAGTAAAAAAAAAAAAAATTCATTTATTTAAAATATATAAAAAAAGAGTAAGATAAATGTGTAATGGTTGTAGACTTGTCCAATAAGTAAAAGAAACAGAGAAGATGTAGATCTGTCTCTTATACACATCTAGATGTGTATAAGAGACATATATATATATATATAGTATATAGTATATATATATATATATATATATATATTCAGGAAAATGTAAATAATTATGATTTTCTTTATTCAAGTTTGATTTAAAATGCCAAAAATTCTCAAGAGCTTAACTAATTATTTTAGAAAACCAAACACGGATAACATTAACATAATTTAATAAGAATAAGTAATAAATATTTTATAGTATCATATAATATTTTGTACACTATATACATATGGTAGTAGGCCTATTTACACCGCAAGTGAAAGGAGAGTGTCTGTTCACAGTATAAATTGATAGGTCAGAGTGAAAAATCTACTGACCTCAAGGTCAGGGAGACCAAATTCAACTTTTCTATCAAGCCGTCCGGGCCTTATCAGTGCAGGATCCAAGGTATCAGGCCGGTTGGTGGCCATTAGGACTTTGATGTTGCCCCTTGGGTCAAAGCCATCCAGTTGGTTGATTAGCTCCAACATTGTTCGCTGGACCTCATTGTCTCCTCCTGCTCCGTCATCAAATCTTGCACCTGTGTGATAGAGATCATTAACTATTTTATTTTTATTTATTTTTTTTTATTAGGGTACATCTTTAGTTTTTTTTTTTTTTCTTTAGGGAAAAAAAATTATACATATCAGATGTTTTCAAATTAGTAGACTCTCAAATCAAAATAAGCCTTTAAAACCTCTTAATTTTGCTTTGGAAAGTCTGACTTCGTCCACTTATGCAATTGTCTGGGACATCGCCCCCCCACCCCTTCAGGGTTACACAACCATTGTGACCATAGTCTGTAGTCACTTTCACAGTAGGCACTCAATAATATTGAGGCAGCACATGTGAATGTATGTTTCAAAAGTTCTTGCATCCTGTTTCCTAAAATAGCATCAAACCTCATCATAAGATTATTATATAAACTTTAATTACTAATTAATTTTCTCAATGTCTATAGTATACTTACCCCCAATAGCATCAATCTCATCAAAGAAAATTAAACACGCTTTCTTCGTTCTTGCCATTTCAAATAATTCACGTACCATTCTTGCCCCCTAATGTTGCAGTGAATAAAAACAATTAAGTAATTCTTAGATAACATAAACCAATATAATGAATATAAACACCACACATTTTATGTTTTGTTTAAAACAAAAACATCAGCAATATATTAACTTAAATAAAAATGTGTGTTGTGTTCAAAACAATACTCTTTAACACACAATTTAAGTAACATGATACAAATAAAAGTTATATAAAAAATAATGATGACAACAATGACAACCACGAAGATGATGATGACGATGTCAAATAGGATGACAAATGATATTTATAATGACAATGATGTTAATGATGATGATGATGATGATGGTGATTGTGATAATGATGATGATGAAGGTTATAATCAGAAAAGCTTACATTTTTTGCCCTAAAATATTTGTTATACGATTATTGTAGGCTGAAATGAAATGTGAACTAATTGGATTGGATTTATTCAGTGTATAAAACCAAGAATAGCCGACAGAAGTCTAGAAGAAAACTTATTTCCAGTGGTGTCCTTCTGGTGGTGATTGGGCAGTACACCGGGAGACAATCCCCTACTCTTTTCCGAAGAGTGTACTGCATTTTTTAACGTGTACATGGGCCATAAATGCACACGGGACCAAAGGCTTAAACGTCTCATCCGAAGGACAGTGCGCTTGTAACTTGTATTTCCGCCCTCCAGTTGAAAATTCAAGGAGAGGCCATTGTAGGCTGAAATGAAATGTGAACTAATTACATTTGATTGCAACATACCTCCCCTACATATTTTTGTACAAGCTCCGATCCTATTACTCTGATGAAGCAGGCATCTGTCCGGTTAGCAACTGCCCTGGCACATAGTGTCTTCCCAGTTCCTGGCGGCCCATACAATAGCACACCCTTTGGAGGTTCTATGCCTAGGTTTACAAATCTTTCAGGCTAGAGCAGAAAATGAAAAATTGCACTATTATTGTACATTAGATAGATATATCTAAGGGAGAGGGTAAGGGTTATTGTTATTGTACTCAAAACACCTTCATTACCCTGGACATGTGTAAACAATTTTTTTATCACCATTGATAAGTATATAGATCCCAGGTTGGTTCTAACTGTACCTTATTGAGTAAAAAGTTGGTGATAAAATAGTGTTGAATATAGTGTTGGTTACATCAGTTTTGTTCGAGTCTTTTAGGAGCATTCATTCAAAGGATGTGCATTTATTCAAAATGACATTCTGGAGGGACATTTATTCAAGGAGCAGCAAATGCAAGATGCTCCCTTTCAAACATCCTTCAACCTTTTGCACACGAGAGAATTAACAAACTCTTGAGGTAACAGCTCAAGTAAATTTTCACGTCAGTTTGACACCCGGCGCTGACTGAGCCAAACGGTCGTCGGCCGATGCAATCCTATAAAGAACACTAGACGAAGACGCAAGTAACGGATCATTTTTCATGACGATACTTTCAGACTGCCACCAACAATCAGCAGACGACATCTAGATCGTTTAGCAATTTCAGGGAGCAGAGTTGGCTTTGTTGGGCGGCGGTCGTAGGACCAACGCAATGAGTGCCCTGCTGAAGTGTACAGTACTTACCCTCGTGAGACAACAAAAATTATGTGCACTTCGGTAGATTCAGAGCTGTAACCATTAGCTGAATTATTTCATTTGGGAAATGATGATGAAGTCTTGGCACTTTGACCTCTGATGATTAGTGCCCAAAATTATTACAAAAACGTAAATATAATGATGATATATTGATCATTATTTTATATTTTCAGATAATATTTCAGCTGCTCCAAGTTTCTTTCCTATTTCCTATAATTTAAAAAAAAACAATATAGGGCCAAAGGTACTTCAAACTAGGCTTAGAACTTTCATATACATTATGTGCATTGTATACTCTGTTTAATCATATATTCAAAGCTGAAGTTAGCCGGTCTTGTGCCAATCTTTTTCTTCAGAAAGGCTTCTACGAATGGATGTCGACTTGTGGAGCAGGAAATCAAGTTGTCCCTTAAAGCACAATTATTTCATTTGGGGAAAGATGATGCATGTTAATTCAAGCCATCAATACAATAACATCTTACATGCAATAGTGGCGTCTCTACAACTTCTCGCAGCTTTTCAATTTGTTCTTTGCAGCCTCCGACATCAGAATAAGTGACATCTGGCTTTTCCTCTACCTGGTTAAAAAATGTAAAGTTAATAACAACATTATATAAAATATAATTCCACCAAATTAATTTAATACAGTTGAACTTGCTTAAGTCGAATCCATAAGGACATTCCACTTTAGATACAATTCGACTTACAGTACAGATTAATGGAAAACACAATTATTTGGCATGTAAAATAAGTTTGACTTATAAATTATTTGAGTTAGGCAAAGTCAACTTAGACAAGTTTAACTGTATAATATAGTTAGAATTATATAACGCTTAATACCAAAGTCTCAAACTACCAAAGAGTGGACTAGCTTCTCCCCTAAAAGGTCTCTTCATGTATAGGAACCCGGTAAATCAGTGCCAGTCACTCTTGTCTGACCACAACAGGGGCTGTGTGGACCATTACAACGGATTAACCCCTACTCATCTCAAAAAATGTAAGGGTTCCTTAAAGTGCACTTTAGCCAAATTTTGTACACTGGGCCTACAGTTTATAGTCCTTTTGAATGAATATCTCAGGAGAAACATTTTATGGGACAAATGCTTGCTTTGGGTATGCAATGAAAGGTATCAGAAATGAAAACACCAACCTGCATCATAGTGACAGTCGGATCAATCTTTGGTGGAAGCGGAATGTGAATCTGGTACTTATTCCTATCAACTCTGTAAAAATGAATATAAACAATAAATAAACAACTGTAAAATAATAGTAAGAAATATAAAGTCACTGAAAAATATGATGAAAACAATAAGTGCAATGTAATTTTAGTGGTTATTGGCCCTTAATGCTGTAGTTGAATAAAATTTTTAAAAATGTATTGAATTGGATCAACAATGTAATAATTGTAGGCTTACACGACACGACAGTAATCATGAATATTAATAATAATAATAAAATCAACAACAACAACCTCCTGGCTTATCCCGCTAGTCTAAACGCCCAGCAAAGTTAAGCAGGGCTTAACGTTGAGACGGGCTTAACTCATACCTGGCTTATATCCAAGTCCCCTAAAAATTACAGTCAAGCAGTTAAAAATCACCTAAAATCACCTGATTTTGCGAATTAGAGCCCCTCAACTGATCATCGAGCAACCCCCAACTTCACCTTTGCGCCTATCCCCTCATCAGCACCCAATTTCAATACTTCTAGATACACCACTGTTGGTAAGTCCCACAAAATAATACTGTAAATGTATGTCATGTGCGTTTAAAGGAACAACACATGCGTTTGTAGGAAGCGCGTGTATTTTCCTGGCCTTGTTCTCATAGTCAATTGTTATAGTTTGATTGACACTCTGGAAGAGTCCATTGTTTCTGAAGTTGAAATGCTGGTATATGCACATACAGTACAAGCTAGAATTTTTAAAACATCAAGGTGGTTTGGAATCATTTATTTTGATAATGACAACAGAGGAAAAATAAAAAATTTGTCTTTTTTTTTAGGAAGGGTGGGGGTGGCTATCCACCCTATTCTTTCCCTCTGGATACGCCCATCAGATTGGGTAAAACGAAAGAATCTTACCCGACTCTCATGCCTTCCTCAATATCTGTGGGGGCCACTTGGTCGTGAAGATCCACGACAAACTTGGCGAACTGCTTGACGTTGATGATGTACTTGGCATCGTCCGTGTCAGCGTTGATAATCTTTGTACACCTGGCGACCTGTAGAGGTTGTTCGCTTTGTAGTGTCTGCTTATCGGCTGGTAGATCCCATAGCGCTGGGTTGGCTAGTCCAGTGTCAGATTCCTTAATGCCTAGAAAATATGGAAAAGAAAACAATAATTAACTTCAGTATCACACTATCAATATTAATAAATAATAATAATAATAATGATATGAGTTAAGATAAAGATTCTTCTGCAAAACTAAGATGTTTAGAAAAATTGGATATAGTGTTTGAGGGATTTGTTAGTCACAGGTTGATGACATATTTATATTTGGGCTCATCAATGAATAAAACATCAACAGTACTATAAAAAAATAAATTCATTTATATATATATATTTTCTTTTAAAAATTGTTAATGTTTGCTTATCTTCCTGATTGATGTATTTTTATTTTTTTAATGATGTATTTTTTATAAAAGTGGCAGTTCACCACAAGAGAAAACAAAATCAATATTAATAACAATAATAATGCTAAAAACTTCAACTATACAAACAATAGCAATGACAACAATGACTAGAGAAGAAAGGAATGAGCATTTAACACAAGGTGAAGTGGGGAGGCGATGATTAAGTGAGGGCATGCTACACAGCAAAATAAGGTAAAATGAGGTGATTTGTTTTGCTTCAAAAATGTTCAATGTGGGGGGAGGGGGAACTTCTTTGGGGGAGGAGGAAGAGTTTGTTTTAATACAACTAGTTCCTTACCTGTCAATTCATTTACTTTTTTAGATATTGAGGTGATGTCATCTTCAACTTGCTTGATAGCCTTTGAGTATGGTCCAGCACCCTGAATAGGAACAAAATTAGATACATCATCTTTTATATTCTTATTGTATTTATTGTACTTGCTTAGTGTATTGTTCCTGTTAAGAATACAGTAGAACTCATTTCCAAGAGAAAAAAAAAACAATAAGTGATTACATAATTCATAATTTAATGGACTTCCAGGTAAAATTATAACTTATATCTTCTTAGACCTACTGTAGATTAAATTAATTAAACAAAAAATAACTAATAAATAGTACACCTCAACATTTTTCAACACTAAAATACGAAAAATAATGCAAAAAAAAAAAAAAAATAAATAAATTTAAATAAAAAATCTATGTAGTGCACATCACTTGATTTTGTGAACAATGATCATGTTACAGAAAAGTATGTTGTATTAAGACTATTTTTTAAGAGCAATTACATAATAGGCCTAGCCTAGATCCTAGCCTAGGCCTATAATTTTATTATATTAATAAATACTCACATATGTTTTTAGAAGAGCAATATCACCTTCATCTAGAGCTGTGGGTAAAAGATATTCATAATATATTAAGTCTACAGAAAAATCTGCCTAAGCCTAGTGGCAACCAATGTTGAGATAATACTATAAAAGTGTCCTAGGATCCGGCCTAGGCCTAACTGTTAGGCTGGCAACACTCTTTATAATATTACAGGTACATAGATAGACTGAGGGATAGGCCCCCTGTCGAGCTCGCTGTACAGTAGGATTGCTATTTTTCTGACTCGAGTTACAGACGATCGGGCCTAGGATGATCAGGCCCATTTTCAGGACGATTGGGCCCAATTTGAAAGTGGGCCTGATCATCCTGAAAATGGGCCTGACAGTCTGGAAATTGGCCCAATCTGTCTTGAGGGCCTGATCGTGTGTAGGCAAAATCGAATATTGTGTGCGATCGTCAATAGCCAGCCTAGAGGTCAAACAAATGTGAAGAAGATTAAAGATTGCCTATCTTCATTCAGAAAAAGAAAAAGAAAAAAAAAAAATTAAATCCTCATTAAAATTTTATTTTTATTTCTCATCCTACTACTATGCCTAGATCTTATAGCAAAACCATTTTGATTATACGATTTACGAATGCACAATTTTATATTTTAATCATTCTCTGAATATGCTTTAAAAAAATTAAGTTCAACGGAGTTATAAAAATGTCTCGTCATACTGATTAACATGGTAGGTCTATTCTATGTAATGTTGGCCTAGGGGCTAGGTTAGGTATGGTATCAGAAAAAATGTGGCCGATCGTCTCTACTAGGCCTAGGCCTAGCTAGAAAAAAGGCCTTGAGAAAATGGGCCTGATCGCCTAAAACCTCCGGTTTTTTTTTTAAGTGGCCCATAGGGCTAGTCTGTAGTAATTCATAGTAGTCATGCATTGATTAAACTCGATCGTCCACAATAGTTGGGCCCGATCGTCTGAAAATGGGCCCGACCGTCCTGGGTCTGATTGTCTTGTGGGCCCGATCGTCTGTCACCCTTCTGACTCAGCAAAACCACCAAGCAAGGGCCTAGCCATCAACCGTCCTCACTGTTTAATTACAAATTAGTTTACTATATACTGTAAATCTTACCTTGAATAGGTTTTTCATCTTTGTCATCCTCGTGTTTTACCTTACGCATATCATTACCTAAATGATCCGGCATTTTGATAATATTCCACTAAACAACAATGCGCTAATAAAATTATCAAAATCTAAGCCTTGCCTTTCGTTATTTTATCCTCGTTTAAAGTTGTGTGATCTAAGAAGCAACATTTTAGCCTCGTATCATTTATTTTTATTTATGTGATATATTTTGATCATAAATTATCATTATACAAACATTTAATGTACAAAACTTACAGAAAATAGAAAGTGAATATAACTAATTTTACTTATTTGCGAAATAATATATATATTAATAGATTTTATATTTATTTGTTTAGAATGTTTAAACAGAATGGTAAGCAGACGTGCTGGTCAGTGATAATCCATCTCAATCCAAAACAAAGTTGTATTTTTTTTTAGAAGTTATGTTTGTATGTTAACGAACCCGCATTATTTTTTGACTTATAATTGATGACCAAGTCGGAGTGCTTGTAATTGATTACTTTTGATCACATGGCTATCTGTATATAGTCTTAGTAAGTGTGTAAATTATTGACGATTTGCTAGGCCTAGGCCCGGCCCCTAGTAGTTATCCTAGGCCTAGTTAGTTAGTCCAGCAGTACAGTAGGATGCAGCTAGCACTGCACAGAGTGCTTGGCAGGGAGCCTGCCGTAGAGCCTACCCTAAATGATAAGGCTAGCCTGGGCCTCGCTATCTTTGCATCTAGTCTCCTAATGTGTTAAACTTAAACTTAATTGAATTGTTAAGAAAAATACTTTCTTGCTAATTTTCAATTTATAAGCCAGGAATCGTAATTCCTGCAATACAATTAGTTTAGGCCTACTTACTTACTTTGTCAGACTTCTCAAGTTCTATGGAATGTCCGTAGTTGCTACGGAAATTTTGCCCAATTATGGACGTTTACAGAAATAAGCAAAGACTACGGAAATTTATCTTTAGTCTAGACCCAGAAATATATAAGTTTACACATTGTTGAAAGTCCAGGACAATGATTTTTTCATCAGGACCATTGGCTACATTGTTTCTATGGACCCTAGACTTCAAACCTGCCAGATACTGATACAGTACTGATAAATTATTGTAAAACCCAAGCAAAGTGCCCCATAAATCAGCAGGTGCTACGGAATATTTTTATTTACTACGAAAACTAGAACACATGGTTACGGAAATGCATTTTACTTGAGAAGTCTGCTTTGTTTATGTGTTCAGAAGACCTACCGTAGGTCAAAGCCTAGTTTACTACAAAATCTGCATGGAAATCGGCCCTTATTTTTTGAAATGCATGGACAGATTTCTAGGCCAAATTTTTGTGTGGGGATTATAATTTCCTGCACAAGCCTTACCATACAGTCTGGCTACAGAACTTCCGTAGTTTAGGCCTATTTTTCCGTAGTTTAGGCCTATTTTTCCGTAGTTAGGCCTATTTTCTACGGAATTTTTGTCTGATTACGGATGTACAGAAATACTGTAGATAAAAATACTACAGAAATTTATCTTAGGCCTAGTAGACCCATAAATTCATGGGTCTAAAGTAAAGAATAAATTATTTTTCTATCAGGATCTTTAGTTAATTGTCCCTTGACAATTCATACTTGTCAGATTACTGATGTATTATTGTGAAAACTATTGAAGAAAAAGTGGCCCGTAAATCTTCATCGTGTCCTGTTCGTTTGAAGTTCCACATCAAAACAATCATGCCCTAAGACGATCGAGCCCAGGACGATCAGGCCCATTTTCAAGACCATCGAGCCCAGGACGATCGGGCCCATTTTCAGGATGATCGGACCAAATGAAATTGGGCCCACTCATCCTTAAAATGACCCATAAATCTTTATCCTGTCAAGTTTGTTTGAAAATTCCTCAGATGTACCTGCAATTTTGAGAAACTTGTATCTTGAACTCATGGCAAATTGTTAGGTGCTACAGAAATTTTTATTTTCTACGGAAAACTGAAGACATACTGAAATGCAGTCTTTTACTGTTCTAAATTTTAAAAAGTCTTGTTTTTGCTTTTTCAACAATAAATTATAGATTCAATTAATGATGAGTGGGAGCATTCTTCTTGATGGAGAAGATGAATTCTGTTTCCCAATACACCAAGATGATCTCAACCCCAATGAAACAAAAGAGAAAATGGATGTCCAGCTACCGCCAGTAAAGGAATCTGTAAACGCTGACACATCCACAGAGGTGAACCAAATGATAGACACAGAAACAAACCAAGAAAGAGACTCCCAAACAAACCCATGGCCAAATATGGAAACAAACCCAGATGCAGACGAAAAATTAAAGTCAGACATAGAAACAAACCAAGAGGCAGACACAAAATCAAACCCACAAACAAATACAGGATTAAACCTAGAGACAGGGGGAATACTGAACAATGGGAACCTTTTTATTTGTAACTTGTGCAGCAAAGAATTACAAGATCCAAGACAGCTCTCCTGCTATCATACATTTTGTGCCAATTGTCTACGAGGAAAAGCTATGCATGGATGTTTGACATGTCCTGAGTGCAGGTATGTAACATGGTAGTGGTCCCAAGCAGTGGCATACCTAGAAGATGTGGGGGGGGGGTGTGGTGGTGGATACAAGAGATACAAGATGCTGGCAATGTTGTTATTACTACCCCTGATAATCGGATCTATAATCAAAGCAGCACGAAGTGCAACCTTCCCCACTCCCTGGGGAGTATTCCTAGTCGTGTGTGCAATTTAATGCCGATAAAGACAAATACTGGCAATGCCACATCATCCTGCCAGGTACCCATTTATACTTCTGGGTGGAGGGAGGCAAACGTAAATAAAGTGCCTTGCCTATTGGACACAAGAGATGCGACAAGCCTTGGTCTCGAACTATGCGCGATAAGAAATTATCACAAATTTAGGGGAAAATGTATTTAAAATTAAAAGAAATTGGTTTTATTAAAAATATAAAAACGGTCATGCAGTAACTTGAGTCATTAGACAGTATTTACATGAATACTTAATTCACTGACACGTTACTAAAAATTGATCAGTGTGCCTATTCATTTTTTGTTTGTTAAGTAATGAAATGTTTGCGTACCGAGTTCGGGTGATGAAATTAAACATAATGTACATTGAAACTCAAATTGTACTGTACGTGGCTGTGTTAAAGATATTTTTGTTTAATTACTGTACCCGGTATTGTCAACAAACACTCCCTGAAAGCAAATTAAAGTAATTAAAAATGATCAGATCGTCGGAGCGCCAGGGACCCTTGCCCCTGATCCCAACCAGGGCTCTGCCTCTGGACCCGGAGGGGGCCAGTGCCCCCACCCCACCAGCTAACTGTCACGCATTTCAAATCTCTCAGGTTGCTAAACTGTGCCAACACCTTACACTCATACCTTGCACCTTACGCCCCTACACATTGCATTGGTTTTCAACCATGAGGTTGGAAGTTTGAATTCTATGCTCTCCATTGTGTTCTTGAGAGAAGTATTTTGTTTAATATTTATGTTTACATTTTGTGGAAGGAGTTTGGCACAGTTGAAATGGTTTAGTTTCCCATACTCGAGGTTGGAGTTTAAATCCTTCACTGTACATTTTGCTTGTGTCCTTGAGTAAGGCACTTTCTCTACAGCGCTTCAGTCTCCTTAGCTGTACCAATAGGTAACAGCTTCCCACCCAGAGGAGCATTAATCTATCATCCGCTTTACACTAATTGAAACAGAAGATAAGCTCCAGCTGCAATGAGCCCTGTGGCTCAGCAAGGACATTACTTTTCTACAGTGTGTCCACATTGAGCTGCAACACAGTGTAGAAGTTAGTTGTCCTAGGTGTAAGTTTAAAAATGTAAGAATGGCATTATTGGAAATTATGATATCATTGTCAGCAACCGAGCTAGTTGACACCTTTAGAAATTCTAGTGTTTTCAGCAATATACTGTTAGTAAAAGTACCTTACTGTGTACTCATTCAATCTGGTATTTCTAATTTTAGACAACAGACTGTACTCCCTCCTGACTCGCTCCTCCCAGATCCTGATGCTCTTATTGTCTTTTTGATGAAATCATTGGATGAAACGTACCAGGCTGCATGTTCAAACTGTGAAAACGTAAGACATTTTTTCTTGAATTGGTAACTCCTATTCAGGACAAGCACTGTACAGTTTACTACAGTATTTTTAGTGGTTATGATAATTGGTGCTTGTACATTGCCTCATCCCATCATAGAAACAAGTGGAACAAGATTTATCTTTACCAGTATTTGTTTTATAAAACAGAGAATTGACCCTAATTCCTGACAATTATGTTTTCAAGTTTTTATTACAAAAAGTTATAAGTAGTGGCTTCCATAAGTTATAGGGTCATAGGTATTCACATGCACCAAAATACAATGTTTTAAGAAAGCTCCTTAATAAAAATATTTTGCCCTTGAGGGGACGCTCATGTCACGTCTTTGACTTCTCCACATCTCATTTCTTTGAATACTGAAGGGGTTTCTTCTTTCCAACTCTGGAATATGAAACCATAGAAAAGGAACTGAAGTATCTTTAGGTTTTCTTGCAGGAATTTATTACCTAAAATATTGGATGTTGAAATTACAGTAGTAGATGTTGTTTAGATGTGAAAAAAAACAATACTATTTTGAAATCGAATGTCACTCTTTGAAAATTTTCTTTCAATAGTTTGTTGATTTCATGTTCTATTGTCTGACCTGCAAGCAACCTTTGTGCCAACTCTGCCGGCAGGAGACCCATCGGGCAAAGATGTTCTCCACGCACGATATTGTAAAACTTGGTAAACATATGCAAGATGTGCACAAAGTGTGCAGTAAGTAAAATTGGTTTTCTATCATAGATTAACAATATCTACTATTTGATTTTACATTGATGGCACAGACCAACAATGTGCTGTTATATATCAAGTTAGATATTCCTATATTAAGCTCTTTGACTCACATCCCTCGCTATGCAAGTCACTTGTACTCTCTAATAGGCAAGACACTTTATCTACGCCTGTCTCTCTCCACCCAGGAGTATAAATGGGTACCTGCATAATATGCTGGGAAGGTAAAGACAAACTGCTGTGCGAGAAGAGTGGCGAATCAGAGCCTTGGACAATCTGGCCTAAACGCTCGCTGAGGAAAGAGAGACAGGCACACCGGCATGTGAACCCAAAGCTTCAGGTTCAACCTTTAATACCTAATTACCTTGGCTATCTAATTTTCTTTAACAAGAAAGTGTTCTATGCCCCTATAGAGTCATGATGTGCCTATATATGGTCATGGGAGATCATGACCATATAGGCATTTTACATGTTTTTTTTTTTACAAATAAAATTTGTAAGGAAAGGTCGATAAGGCTTTACTGTATGATTATTTCAGTGACGTAACACATGATGTTCCTATATGGTCAAGAAATGATGTCATTATGACCATATTTAGCCATGTCACATGTTTTTGTCAAATAAAATTTAATAATTTGGATAGGACTTTTACTGTATAATATTTGCCCAAAATCATTCATGTGGTTTGCCTTTAGGTTAGAACAATTAGGGGGAAATCAAGACATGCCGTTAATACATAATAAACACCAGAACAGACAGGTGATTCACCTCAACCACTGCAGCCTTACCCAAGCCCCCAGGGTAGTAGGATCTAAGGATTTATCCAGTGTTTTAGGGAATACATCCTGGTTATTATTTCTGTGCACAATCCCCTTGTTTTAACTCACCATGCAGCTTAGGTAATCTTACCAAAGAGAGTACTTCACAAGCTGTTATCAAACTGGCCAGGTACATGGTAAGTTAACCAAAAAAATGTAAGTCAAGCTATTGTACTTTGTTGTTAAATTATACAAATGTAATTTTTACTCTAGGTGAGCACAATGAAGAATACATGATGTACTGTACCACTAGAAATTCTCTTCTATGTATCAAGTGCTTCAGAGATACTGATCGGTAGTATAATTTTATTTTATTTTTATTTTAACTGTATATAGAGGGTGAACCCTTCCAGCTGAACCCAAAGGCCAGTTGATGTTCAGGGATCCTCAATGTCAGTTGTGTCAATAATGTCAAGAACATACTTACAATAATTCAAATGTAAAAGCAAGTGTCAAGTTGATTTGTCCCAAAACCTGTTTCCATCCACCTTTTTTCTGTTTATCACATGCCTAGTGTTGATGTTACTTTCCATGTGGATGTGGGTCAAGCAGAATGGCTCGTTCAGTTTGTGAATAATGATTTTTTTTGGGGGGTAAAAAGTTCTTTTAATTTCATTCAGCTTCTGAAGCATGGACGTTAAAATACTATAAAATTATCATATTTGTTTTTTTTTTGGACTGGCTGAATACTGGATACAATAGCCAAACGTCTTTCTAAAATAAACCATTATTTGCTTTATGGCTTTCCATATTGGAAAATAGAAGAAACTACTTCCATACTAAATAATCCACCTTCCTCCATTTTTTTTATTATGCCCCAACCAATGTAATCTGCCCATTTACACACAATAATACTACCCACTACATGCTGTCCCTAGTTCTTCTGAAATATTTCTGTTTTCTTTAGGCTAACATGGCACATCTAACATATCTTTATATTCCTCTTAAGGATATAAATCTTCTTCGTTAATTGCCCTGGTCTCACTCGCATCTACAACACTATTTTAATATATTTGTTTGTTTTTTAATAAGATCACTGCGTTCTTCTTGTGTTGACCTGGAAACTGCATACACGGAACATCTCCAAAAGGTTGAAGACATGATAGATTCAATTGATGACCTCCAGAGGGTGCTCCATGATTCAATTCTACTCTACCAAGCTCTGCTATTGGACGTAAAGAAAAATGCTGAAAAGGAGAGGGCAGCAATCGATGCTCTGTATAATGATGTCATCGACAGGCTGACCAAAAAGAAACTTGATCTACTTAGGGCTGTTGATGAGTAAGTATTATATTTCCATAAGCTCTTTCTATACCGTACTTGCACGAATAAGTGCCCCGTTTGAATAAGCGCCCCTGTTGAATAAGCGCCCCTGTTGAATAAGCACCCCTGTTGAATAAGCACCCCTGTTGAATAAGCACCCCACCTAAAGTGAAAATTGTCTTAAGCTCCCTGTTTAAATAAGTTACTCTTCTAATACTGATCATTCATTCATTTAATTAATTTATTTGGCACAAATGACCAGGGACTACTGTGTCAGCAACGTTGCACCATGGCACCACAATATAATAAATCTAATAAAAATTTCCAAATAAATGTTATTAATGGGCATGCAATTGCCATATATGTAATATTAGATGGAAGGTTTGACCACTGAATTCACAACAATTTTGAGAGATGAAAATTTGAAAGTGAAAACATATTGGGAGAGTATAAAGCTTCCAAATGGTGTACTGTACATCAGTATTCATTTTATTTATTTATTTTTTATTTTAATTTTATTTCAATCGTCCAACAGGAACTCTTCGCTCCCACTTACAGGCCAAAGTTGTAATAAAAATATATAGAAAATATAATAAATATATTAAATCAGTCATTTACACTATCAGTCATTTACACTATTGCATAAGGTTTTCTTATAAATTAACATTGAATCCAATTCAATTGTTCATTATTAATTAAAGGAAAAAAATAAACTAAATGTTGTATATATCATTCTAATTAATTGTAAACAAATATTTTTTTAATATACAAATATGTATTTTAAAATATTTTTCCTATTTTGCCCATGTTTCTTTGCATATTACTAACATTACAATATTTTTCAAATGAACATGTTCACTTTACAATTTGAATCCTGCAATTAATATAATTATTATATTTTTTTTTCTCATTATGTAACATAGAGAGTTAGAATCAAAAGAAAAACATTTTGAAGAGTACCTACCTAAGTTGGCTGCATTTCTTCCGACAATTGAGAAAACATTGCAACTGTCCTCGCAATTTACACAAGCAACAGATATTTATGAATATTTGCATCATAGTATAGTAAGTTCCATCAACTGCCAACTATACCAGAATACTTGATATAATAATAGTAATAATTTCTAGTACTGTTCTTGCTGTTTCAGATCTTTATGTTTAAGAAATTTCTGTTAATTTTGTTTTCATTAAAACCACCACCTAAAGTGAGCATAACTGTTAACAAGTGACTTTCATTCTACACAAACCAAAACGATAAATCACTCAATCAGTCAATGTAAATGACACAAACTACGACCTGGAAAAGAAATTGGAATGTCAATGGGGTTTTTAAACAAAATTTTAAATTTAGTTTGTAGGGTTGAATAAGTTGTTTTCTAATACTATTAGATGAACCGATTAACTTTAAAACAAAATCTGAAATGTGATCAGGGGCAGATTTAAAGTGGGGATGGAGGCTACGTTTTGACCATGGATGTATTATTGAGGAGATCACTTGAAAAAGGCTACGCGCACCCAGCGTTATGCAAATGAGCCAAGAACATAGCTGCTGCAGCGCATAAAGAACGTTTGCGCGATGCCTTTGAAATCTAATGTGTTTCCCACCACCAAATGCTCAGCAGGCTTAGTTTACCAAAAACTTGAAAATGGCGAAATGGTGAGCACCTTCTTTTCTCAATGTGCACTACTTTCAGACAAATACTATAGCTGCGCAGTCATTTCCACCTTGAAGCTAATACCTTTTTCTTTCAAGAAATACCATACATAATAATGTTTTCTACAAAAAAGAGTTCCGAATTTAATGAAACATTTACATCAGCAAAGTATAGTATATTTCAACTTTAATTTCCGTAAATTGGATAAAACTCGATAATTCTTCTAAATTTAACAGATAATAATTAAGGAATGATTGAGGATTATAATAAACCAAGTCATTTTAGGGTTAACAAGGGTTACCTATTTGAAAATTCAATAAAAAAAATCACAGTAATTTTCATTTTTACGCTGCCTTAGATTTATAGTCAAACCAATTGATCTTTAGACAAAATTATAATGAACACAGAAGTAATTGTAACATAAATATTTGTAGAATCTGTTCCTGAAATATACACATAATAACATACTAAAAGTAAAAAAAAATCCAATCAGGGGAACATTGTTAATTATAAAGATATTTATTGAGTTAAAATCAAACGGTTTATCACACAACTGCTGTGTTGAAGCATATAAATGCATGTCGTTGCCAAGTTATTGCTAATGAAAATTATGTGAATGTAAGATAATACGGGGAACACATTGGTTTGTTGCCGAGTGATCTCCTTCTCAATAATACTCCATGTTTTACTAACTTTCATATTTGTTTTATGACTGAAATAATAGCCTATTAAGTAGGCCTAAATTAAAACTTTCATGATTCAAACCATCTCAATTTTTTGGTAGCACTCTGTATTCAACTTTTGGCGAGATGCCCACCATGTATTTAAATTAACGGTCTTATTTTATTTTCTGTTTAATTCAGTCATTGTTCGATCGATTGAATGCCATCTTGAACAAACCTTGTCGCCTTCAACCTACCCAAGTTAGCACAATAAATACAGATTTTCATCATGAATTTGCAGACTGTCTTGACTGCATCCTTAACTTACCAAGAAAAGATTTGCCTGTTATAAATATTCAGTTCCCAAAGGAAAGGTAATATTCCATTATTTTTCAATTATGGCTACGTTCAGACCCGAGAGATACGCCAGGCATATGTTAATACGTGGCGTGACTTCCGAGATGTTCAGACTTGGTGATTAATGAACGATAGCATAAAAGTATTCGCACAGTAATTGCACTTTTTATTTCCTATTTACATCTAGGCTTATTGTGATTGGTCAAATCTTGGCCGAGTTCAAAATCATTGACGCATGACTGTCGTAACTCAGTGATGTATGCTAATCTGGGGTCTGTTGCTGGATTACCATACGCCAGTGATTGCGCGTTAATACTGGCTTTTGCTACGCTGCGCACTAGTTCACTACGTTAGCATAAGTCAATGTTTCTAATAACCTATATATTTTTCTGTTGTAATTTGAACTAAATTCTGACATTCAGGTTCAAGACCTGTACACAAGAATTTTTTCCAAAAATTAAATCAAATCCGTTCAACAAACAAGTTTGGTATTTTTTGTTTTTTTATTTTTTTGGTTAATTTTACTGTTAAATTCTTTTTTCTTTGTTCATTTTCAAGACATGAGCACTGAATGTGCTGAAGTCTCTAGAATTATTATGAATTTTGATGAAAGATGGGATTGTAAAAAAAAGTAACAACATGTAGTTAAATCCATGCCTAATTTTTAATGAAATGTTATCAAAAAATGTCCTAAATATTGTTAATTGAGACTTATGAATTTGTTTTTGGATATTAAAGCAACTTGTTAAAAAGTGAACAAAAAAGTGATGTGTGTTAAGTACAAAGGCAATTTGTAACATGTAGGTCACTGTGAAACGTTGAAATTTAAGGGGGCTTTTAAAATGAAAACAAGTAACAATTTGATTTTTTCTGTTTTCAGATTTTTAACAGAAAGTAGGCCTGATCTTGGCACACACAAACGGTTACAACGCCCTCATTCATTTTCACCACTCTCTGGGGCTGGCCCATTTTTTGAACACTGCCAGAGCTTCGAGTCCAACCACAAGGTTAGAGGTTACCTAATATATTTTACAGTATGAGGCCCAAAACCAACATCAATGACCAAAATATGAAAATTGACTTTTTAATATTCTTCTTTTTTACATTATAAGCTTTAAAATTATTGGTTATTTATTGGGATCAACTTAGTGACTGCCTGGCTTAAGAGTACTTCACAAATAAATTAAATTCATTTTCAAAATTATGAACAAATAACAATGATTTTATTTTTATTATTCCATCACATCATAATATCATCTATTATTGGCATTAGTGGCACTTACAGTATGGCGTGTGTTGTACTTATGCCTATCACTGCTGTTGCAATGTTAGTATTAAAAATGTGTAAATAGAAATTGGTTGTTTATTTGTCCCTCCATGATGCAAAACTATCAAGGAATGTTGTAATATCTACTGGGATTAAAGCGCTGCAATGTTAAAAAAAGTATATATTTCCTACTTGGAGCAATAAAGTGTATCTTATCTTATCTTATTCAATAAACACTACAAAATATTCAAGTGTGCCGGCGGTGAAAACATTTTTCATGTTTGAGGTATGCCACATATTCAGTAGAAGTGCTTATTGAAGAGGCGTATATTAGGTCATTTGCAGTTTTAAACAATTCTAACATGTGTAAAGTCATAAAAAAATGATTTTGTGTTTTTTAGTTATTAAAAGGTCGGATCTTTCGTCTGAAAAAGGAACTAGAGACCTTACACCGTGATGGAACTTACCACCGCACACTTGTGCAAGATGAGCGTGTGGCAAACTTGAGGGATGAGTGTGACCAGGTGACTTGCAAACTTGCCTCGCAAATAGAAAACCAAGAATCACTGAAACCAAAATTTGATGAGGTAATATCTTGTTTTGTTTTCTTCTATGGTTTCCATATGGAAGATATTTTTAGCAATTGTATTTCAACTGTTATAATATCTGAAAATTTACATTCCTGTTATTTCCCAAAGAAATTTAACATTCGATTGTCATCCTAACCCTAACCCTAAATCTAAATCTTCTACACAACCTGTGTAATTCCAAGGGCGTAAAATCAAATAATGAAATAAATTATGTGTAAACTCTCATATTCACACTCACAATGTCTTGATATCTACTAATTTCATCAGACAGGCCCGTAGCCAGGTTCTTTTAAGGGGGGGGTTTTCTGGGGGTTTTCTGGGCGTGAGGTCCACGGTCGAAGCCCCAGTGGGGGTCGCCGAAACCCCTGGAAAGCAAGAGGATTTTTGTGCTTTATTTGTCTAAATAATGCTATAAAAGCAGATATGTTTGAAAACGTCTGTGTCTGGGTGGGTCTGCAGTGCGTTAGTTGGGTTGGGTTGGCATGTGATATGTTTACAGTATAAATTATTTGTTCACGTATTCTGCTGAAAGTTTCCTTATGGACTTGTTGAGTCATAGATTTTTCCACTGGCATTTTCACTTTACTTTTACTCCACCTTGAATGATGGCATACTACCTATTTTCTTCGCCTGGAATTTATAGGAAGCAGCAAAGGGAATTTATAACTCAAAATTATTGTTCACTACTGCATTCATAAACAATAGATTTTAATATGTCACATAGAAAAGTTATATTGTATGTACAATTTATTGTTACAGTTGTTGATATACGTGCCACACTTATTTTATTTTTATAATTCGTCATGATAGAAATACACTACTGTAAACAACCTATAACTACTTGTTGAAGTATTTTGAATAACAATATATATAACAAAATATATATTACTATATATTTTAAGAATTATACAAAGTTGGCTGTTTGAACAGATTTGGAGGCTGTAGCATAGGAGTATGACAGCATTTATTCTGGTATCTTCATATAAACATTAAAAAAAATAGCAAATCAATTGTTGTAGCATCAAAGATAAAAAATGCTTCCGAAAAAAAAAAACAGCTGCCAAAAAAGTGACTACACAGTTTATTTTCAAGACTACCTCTACCTTCAGGGCATGAAAATTTGGGGTAGCCTCTTGGTTATGTCTCCAATTAGTAGGTTGGCTTTGTGTTTAGATCATAGATCAAAGAATTAGACGGTAGTAGAATGTGTATTACACTCTGATCCCATTTAAACAATTTTCCAAGCATCTTTCAGCCTACATTCATGGGGCCACCATCCTGTGGAGTATTTGTTTTGAAAGTATCTTTCATTGTTGAGGCCTTTCTCTTTACAAAAGCAATATACTGTGTAGGAATCTAGCAAGGTTTAAACAGGATGAAATTATTGGTTAAACAGGTACTTGCATGTCTGGGCTGGTACAATTTTACCAGCAGGTATGACTAATCTTGCCAAGCATGTGCCAGACTAGGCCAGACATACTGAAAATTTATTTAAGTGGGCAACATGAGTCCTGACCAGTTACGAAAGTTATACAGCAGTCATGTGAACACTGTTGGTTTTTGTTCTCACCAGCTATGGCATCAGGAACTTGAGAGGATTGCACAAGAGCAGGACATATACCAGAACCAATCAGATGAACTGTATTTTCTCAAGCAGGACAGTGATCATGTGTTGTCTATTATCCAGTCAATTGCTCCGTGCATCTCAGCTATCAATGACATCTCCATCTTTCTAGACCCAAGGTTTGTTGTTTCTTTGATGGTTCTCATACCTTTGTCTTCTTTTCAAGCAAACAATTGTTTGTGTTGTGGCTTATGAGAGGTAAAATTCAAGAAAAAAGTGTATGCCAAGCCCAACACTTGTTGTGGTCGCTTAAAGTTGTGGGTTGCAGCTCATCTATGAATTGATTTGGCATAAGAAAGGTTCAACATGTTTTTTTAATAGTAGTTACCTCTTCTGATATTTCTGTACTAATTACAATTCTCTTTATTTTCTCTTTATTTCTCCCTTCTTTTGTAATTAGATGTCTATTTCTTGAATACTTTTGAGGATAACTTGGTGATTGCCGAAGTTTTCTCTGCAACTTTATGTCATCAAGCACTTGTACATGGCAGTGTGTCCCAATCTTTACCCCTCAAACATAATAGAAAATAATGGAATTATCCTTAAATGCACCGAGTTTTCTTCTTGCTATTGAGTGATAAAGATGGATTGATATAACTGTTGAACTGTCTATCATATAGTTGCATTGTCTGTTGTTGCACATAGCTGATTTTTCTTCTTCTCATTAAAATCAGGTAGATTGATTTTGATTATTGGTTCCTTTTTCTTTTTTTTTTGCAGGAGGGCTGGCTATCCAACACAGACTCCTAATGAACCACAATCTACCTCATTTTACAATGAAAAGTAAGTTATTAATTGGGGTATGGAGTGACTGGTGGTGCTGTTTACCTCAGATTGTGATTTGAATTCCATGCTCAAGCTTCGTCTTGTGCAAAGGCTTCTATTTATTTCTTTCCACCCGAGAGGAACAGTAGTGAACTATTAAACGACAATTGCAAGTAAAACCTTAGAAAAAAAAGGAACCAAACTAATACATAGGGACAAACTGGCATAAGAAAGAATGTAAAATCTTCAAGAAGTAGTCATTCTCATTTATTATGCACCATAGTTTAATTTTGTAGGTGTACCTTAGTGTCTCGAACAAAACATTGGGTACATATTGGCTCTGTCTCAGGTGTTCAGTTTTCCAGAGAAATGGCACAGGACTGAGGCAGGGCCGGATTAATAATAATAATGTATAGCGCCTCCTATTGAACCAACCTTGAGGCACTTGACAACAACGAAGGGAAACGAACAAGAAGTTATACCATGAACCAAGATTCACAGAACACTTGAAGCCAAACCCACCCAAAATCAACATCGTACGTTTATTGACAATTTAAAGTGCAAAGCCTGTCGGTATATGACTCGCAGGTACTCAAATGATGGCGGTGTCTATCTAAACAGGGCCTGCCATAGATGATGAATTTGCCAGAGATGGCAACTGAGGTAGTGTCAGGGATACACATTCGCCTTGCTACAGATAATCATTTTCTTACAAATGGCATAGAACTGAGGCAGGGTCATTGGGATTGAACCTGCTACAAAGGATGAATTTGCCAGAAATGGCAACTGATGCAGGGTGAATGGGGTACACATTTGCTCTGCTAAAAATCATTCGTTTCCCAGGGATTGAGCCAGAATGATTGGGTACTGTATTCAATGCATTTGGAACAATGCTATTCATGAACGTAAATACTTCCAAGCAAGGGTTTGAGCTGTACATTATGATTAATGTTGCAGTTATAATGAATATTATTTCTATTATTTTCATTGTTGTTATAGGGGATTTTCCAGTACATTTATATGAATCTGTTTGTTTATTTTTTTTAAGATCTGAAGAGAGAATTCCAATATTGGACACCAAGGAAACATCAAATAGTTGTACAAATGAAGAATTGTTAGCAGTAACACATCCAGAGACAATTCACTTAAAAAGTATACCAGTAACACTGAAAAATGAGACAACTCAAACACAGGAATCTATAACTCAGACACATGACAACATACCAAATGAAACACAAAAAGGAAACACAAATACGGGACACAAAGGACTTTCAAGTAGAAGAGTGAACAGCAAAACACATACAGGATGTACACAAATTCAAGACAACAAAAACATACATACACCACAAAGAAGCAATACAGATACAGGACACATAAGCAACTCAAACAGGGGACACAGCAGCAGTAACACACATATATGACACACTGATAACTGAGGGCACATAGAAACATAGGTGGAGAATACTGCATTAAACATACCGTACATACAGGGTGTTGACAACACCTACAAAAAACAGCACACTGCAGCAACACAGGACAAGCTGCCCACTGTTGCAGAAATTCCAGGCAGGGAAGGAGCTGGCCTAAGGGGCACCCCGAAAGTACGATTTGATTGTTTAAGATATCAGTGGGTAAATTTACAGCCAGGCTTAACAATACTTAACTTTGGTGATCCGACGAGAACCAGTGTTTTAACATAGTACTGTATATAGCATTAGTCTGCGTTGGAAACAATAACTAGAATGGAAATATACTATAATTAATTTCTTGACAATCAAGACGGATGACAACAACAAGCAAAGCCAATAGTTAGCTAGAGGGTGCAACTGCATGGGTGAAGAACAGGGCACACGCCCAGGGTGCCAAACTCAAATGTGCCTGGACAAAATTAAGTACTGTAGGGCTTTCAAATTCGGACAATATTGATTTAAATCTTGGAATCAAACCACAACTAAAATAATCACTTTTTATTTTCATTTACCTTTTAAACAATGAACAAACTGATTAGTAGTAGCGTAATTTTAGAATTATAATTACTTTATCATTATTTCTAAGCAATCTATAAACAAATGCTGTTCCTGTTTAATAATTGCTGATTCAAAGTGTTGATTTTATAACTTTTATCTCCACTCCATTGTTTTTTCAAGTCTGAATTATCTTATCTGAATCAATTAACATGTTCATTTCGAAACTCATAATTACAAATTGTTTCTTCAGAACTCAATAAAAGTGTTCATTTAAAAGAAAATTATTGTCTCTCCAGTATTAATTATTTCCAATCAATATAATCATTTTAAATTTCCAACATCAGTGTTAATTTTTCTTGAGATCTTGAGGTGGTGTGGTTAGCTTTACCATTCTTCCTGCTCTTGTAGTCATATTAGTGGATTTTACTGGTGGTATATTTATGACCTGCCTTGGTTCTGGTTCTTGTCTGATATTAATTACTGGTTGGTGGTTTGCCGTGCTATTTTTCATTTGTATGTGCTCCAGTATGATCCGTTATTGAGCATGTGCTTTCTTACATCTTTTATCTCCCAATTGAGCATGCTGAACCCTCACTTTATCTCCTACTTTCAATGGTGGTAGGTCACTCACACTCTTGTCTTAATAACATGGGTGTGTGCAAGTGGGTGGGGGTCGGGAAGGTCGTACACAGTGGTGGCTCTAGGATATATTTTCTGGGGGGATAAGTAGGCCCGAGCTGGAAGAAGGGATTGAGAGGGATTTCTCCTTCCAAATTAGATTTTTTCATGAAGCAACCTCTGAATAGCACTCTCAGACTGTAACAGACTAGACTTGCCACAAGTCTCTAATTATTGATTTTTTCGTAATATTAGCACATTTCGGAAAGCGCCATCAGCGTCAGTTTATGTCGAGAAACTTTTTGATGCGAATCCAAGAAAAAGTATACTATGGAACGCCATGCAAATTAGCAATATGGAACGCCAATGGTGCCAAAATCGATTATTTTAAAGCATTTTCGCTGATTAAGACAAAGTTTAGGGACTGGAACCCAGTCTAGTAACAGAAATGTGTTGGCTTGGTGTGGGCCTATTTTTATATGCA